GAAGATGCTGAAATGGAGTATGGGTTCAACAGTGAAGGACCCATCTTGCGCCCATGTGAGGTTGATCTTTTCTACAAGGTTTTAGCAGAGATGGACAGTGAAGAAATTAATCATGGTTGGAGTTTCAAACATAGCTCGTGCAGTCCTTTCAATCGAATCCATCATTTGGGTACATGCGAAAAGGCTAGGAGTTATGATTCCTATGCCCTTCTCACTCCATTGCCATTGCTTAAGATGAACAACTTTCACTAGCAATTGCGGCCAAATTCAGTGTGTAAGATAATTAGACTATGTGTAAATATATAGAAATATATTATAGGGTTTTTCTGGTGTTTATATGAATCTAATGATATGCCATTGGAGCTCTAAAGGAGCCTTAATTATCCAGTTGTAATTGCTTAGACAAGCAGTGAGCTGTGTAGAGGACAGAGATAGATTAGGCCAAAAGTTTTGTCATGCATGAATGATCCGATATATCACTTTTCAGTTCCTTTGGTCACCAATCATGCAAACCAAAAATAAGTCCAATTATGATTGATGAACCTTTGGCTTGCTTTCCATTGCTTCAGTTTAGGAGTTACAATGCACCATCGTGTCTAAGCTATGTAATGCTTGAATTTGTTTGACTCATATCCGACCATTCTATAATGGGTATAAATTGTCTCTTTCAATTTACGCACGGTCGTTTAAATCTCCCTCCATGATGATAAGTTTCAATAATTATTTGATTAACTTTTAATAAACTTTAATTTTTCTTGATAGTCTTCTTTCCATGTGTTTTGACTTTCTCAATAACTACACGACTTGGTGTATTTTCTTTTGTTTGGCAGTCTCTTTCTCATATATAGATTTGCTTCAATATGATTATTGATTANCCAATGAAATGGATTTTTTGAAAAAAATTCAGAGATGATAGGTGAAACATATTCATTTGGCAGTACAATTCTTTATTGGTGATGACATTAAACCCACCGAAACATTTTCTCACATAAATGAGTGTGGCCTCTTTCTGACTCCTATAAAGAGATTACCCAATTAGCGTAGGTCAGAAGACTATCTCTTGCGAGTCTCTATCTTCTCTCTCCATCCTTTTTATGGGTTTAGACCATAGTTTTAAAATCCGGCCCGAACATCAACCCGAAAGAGGGACCGGGTCAATGGATCACTGGTTCAACCGTTGGGTCACTGGTTCAACCGGTAATATAATTAAAAATTAAAAAAAATTATTAATGATAATAAATAGGCANGTTTTTTTTTTTTGATACGAAAAGATAATCTTTTTATATGTTAAGACACATCATTGTGGAGAAGAATTGACGAAAAGTCGAGCAACTCTCCTCCATACTTACAATTCAAAACATTACAAGCATTCCTAGCTAACCAGTGGGCAACAATGTTGTCAAACCTCGGAATCTAGATTACATCAAAAGATAAATAGTTTAATACAAAGTCTTGAAAAAAATATAGAAAATGCCCGATTTCAGAAAGACCTCCTTCTCGCTTCCTTATGAGATCAACCATTCGCTTAAATCCCCCTCCATGATGATAAGTTTCAATAATTATTCATTCACTTCCTGCTTGTCGTACTAATCTAATTCTAAATTTTTTTATTCACTAGGCTACTTTTTTCTCCAAAAATTATTTTAGTTACCATTCAATTTGGGACAACTTGCAATTAAAAAAGATAAATTTACAGCCAAAAACAAGTGAGATCAATACTAGAATGTTATGATTGATCTTAACATTAAAAATGAAACCAAACGGCCCCATTTTAATTTAATATCATCTTACTTAATCATCATCTCACTGTGATTGAGTCATACTTTTGATGATCAATGAGTTTTTGGTCCAATGATACTTATTTTCTTATGAAAATTTTGTCTTCTTGAG